CCTGTACAGGACAAGCTGTCCATGCAGAGCGGGGAGAGGAGGACAGATCAGGTCAGTGTCTGCACCCATTATTTATGGGATGCTTCACTTGATTTGTCTCCAGACCTGGACTCGGCAAAGAGACTAAATGTCCCTCACAGCTGCTCCTTCCTGCAAAAACAAGACTGACATCATTGTTGTCAGGGAAATGGTGTTTTGATTAAAATCATGTGACAGCTACTTCATGAGTCAATAAACAAATTCCCATTAACCCTCAACTGACAGAAGCCTGCCACCAGTCATCTGTGGCAGTCAGGAGGGTTGTCCCAGCTGGGCACTGACTGGAAGGAGTACCCGAGTCCACCCAGTCCGTGACAGCAAGGGCGCAGGTGGCTCTGCAGACTTCAAGTGTCTATCTCAGGGGACCCAAAGGAGGCACCCCACCTTAACCAGAGGGAACCACTCTTGCTCTCTGGGTCTGTTCTCTTAGAACAAGTGGTAGGCCCAAACCCTAGGTCAAGCAGCACCTTCAGGGTTCCAAGTCGGGGCAAGAGCTAACGGGCATTTCTAGGGCGCTCAACAGCCAGGCAGGTGCTCTGGCCCCATTCTCCCATTCAGGTAGATCAGAGTTTGCTATGCACCAGAGACATTAGGGGTTAAGAACAATTTCTAGTTTGTAATTGGATGACTTCCTGGATCAATCACTTGGCCTCTGACCCCTGACATAGGGCTCTCCCGGCCTGCCAACAGCCAATTCCCTTTCCAGCTCACCTTCAGACTGTTTCCTTTAAGGCAAAACCCATGTTGGGAAAGCTCAGCATCACAGGGCAAGGGCTTTTTCTGGGTTAAATGAACTGCCGCCTCAAAGGCCTAGCACTGCATAATCTCTATTCCCAGTTCTCAAGTGGAGATGGTGACAAGGCTGGGGGAGGTAAATGGGGGTCTGAAAAATGGCAGTACCTACTACGAAGAATTGTTACGAGGATCAAATGAGATGTTTGCCAAGTGCTTAACAAAGTACCCGGTCAACCGCCTTGTGGCGATGCTCAAACTACTGCATTTAGTACTGTTTCCACTGCACACAGCCTTCAGGGCCGTCTTCAAGCTTGAGTAAGTGTGCGGTGTGTCTGAGGGGGAAGGGGAGACACCTCGTTGCTCCGCTCTCTCATCAGGTGCATCCCATGCACTTAAATGACATGACCACTTGGCTCTGAATTTGAAGGAAAACATAACTCCTTTCTCCCAGGGAAATTTGTGGTTTAAAACAAAACGTCACTGAATTCTTCCTTCAAGCAGTTCTAGGTCTGAGACATCAGAACATAAAGGACCAACCTCAGGCCTGTTGGCGTCCCAGGGCTGGCTCCAGCACTGTGAAAATGAACCCAGTGCTGAGCACACTAGACATGCTGGAAAGTTCAAGCCCTGGGGCGGATCACTAAAGAGCAGCACTGGGGACCGGGAGAACATTCATTCTAAGATGAATTAATGACTGTAGCTCAGAGCCTCGATGGCAAGAAATGTTTTCATAGCCTCAGTTCACATAAAGGAAAAGTCATGAGGATTTACATAAAAGGCAAACTTTTTGATGTTCGAGTGTTCACCAATCCCACTGAGGTTTGAGAATGCCAAATTCTTTCAAATAACCCAACTGCAGCCCAACACCAGCACTCCCTCCATAGCCCCTCCAGCTCATTCCCTCTAGTCTTAAATCACCTGCCTACTGAAAAGTTCCAGGGCAGTGGCCAGTACCAACTTCAGTTGCTGACTTGGAACCTTTTTTCACACCTTCTGTATACAGGGTGTCATCCAACAAGGCTTGTAGATCATTCAGACTATTATATAGTAAACTTGACAAATTTTTCCATGAATGGAAATAACTATCCAAGAGGAACTGTGACAAATAACTTTCTATCTTCTGTGAGGACCAAGCAACTAAGTCTTCATCAAACCACCCCTTTCTCCTCTGCATAGTTCTCTCAGACTGGGGAGATGAAAATAGACCTTGAACCACAGAATAGGCATTCTGGACAGCCCAGCCCCGAAAGCATTCCCCAAATAACAAGAGGACAGCAGGCTTGACAGACACTACTGGCCCTAAGATTGGACTGTTCCCTGCCTACCTTGCTACAGCCCCCACACTGGCTGCCCTCACTCCCTGCCTCAACCAGAGTATGGGATTCAGACCAGATTTCTATGGCACTTACCTTCCCAGCACACTCTCCAGGTCCTGTGGGTCTTAGGAAGCAGCTCTTGTCAGCCCCAGGAGTACTGGGCTCTTCACTGTCCTTGTCAGGAAAATCTAGCTTCCTCAGTCTTTGTGCCACCACTAGAGATACAGACAGTGGGTGCTAGAACCTGTCCTAACAGGACAAATTCCCTAAGCCCACCTGTACTTCCTAGCCAGATGCCCTCAGTGCATTCAGCATCTCACTTTTAGGGTAGCACAGCAACCTATACACATTGGCTACATGCAGAGAAAGCCAGAAAACCCAGGATCTCACTGCAAGTCCCTTCCCTGAGGAGCCCATGGAGAGCACCGTCTCACTGGGCCTAGGGCATGGCACCCAGCTGCAGGTCCCCATCTTAGGACACAGATAGCCTACAGTGGACACCCAGCTCCTTTCATGACTGGTAGTAACTCGAGAAAGAAACAGCTCTGGTTTTTCTGGAGAATAAACTCCCTTCACCCTCAAGATTTCCATCTTCCTGAACACTAAGTAATATTCTAGAATCATTGGGCTTCTGGAAGCAAGCAGGGAAGAGTGAGATTCCAGGCTGGAGACATGTGCATGAAGAGGAGAGACAGGACCAAGAGATTGGACAGAATTAGGAATACCAGGGAGTTTCAGGAAGTTAGTGGCAAAATTCCATGATCTTTTAATTCCATTTTACCACAAACTTTTTAAAGTCTCTTTGTATAAGAGAGTCAAAAGCATAACAATTACATCAGACCACAATCACTAAATTTGTTAAACGAGGACACTAGGTGACAAATCCTTTCCACTCTACAGTATTATATCCAGGAAGCAGAGAAATGAGTGCCAACAAAAAAAACAAAGTGCATTGGAGGAAAGCAAGTAAGAGGGTAGGAAAAGTCCCCAATTTATTTGACCACCCTACTCGCCATTTGAGGGAAATGGAACCAGAGGTTTCTACATGAAAGTATCAGACTTTTGACTCACTGACAACACAAGCAGTCAGCAAGGAAGAATGGACGATGCAAACAGGGTCAGGAATGCTATGCTTGTCTTCCTATAGGTCTCTGTAAGCATCTTTGATTTCTGGACAAGCTGGCTGGCTCAAACTTTCAGCTGCTGTCTCTAATAAGTAAGGACAAGTTGTCCAGAAGACTTTCCAGTACTCATATCGCAGTGACCAAGCTGTGACATTTTCACGAGCTGAGGGGTGGCCATTATTTCAACAAGGCCTCAACAGACACCAAATATTAATGTAATTATTTTTATTAAACAGGATGCACCCCCAGATTTGTATCTTCTTGGCCAAGAGACAGAGAAACAAAATTTAGTCTCAAACTCATGTAGAATAAACCCACATTGTTTTAATTAAAAAAAAAAAAACCACCCACAGGTGAATTCCATTGATTATTGGTTTTAGGTTGTATGTATGTCTTTGCTTCTCTTTACTAATTGGCCAAACAACTGATGAAAACTAAAGCAATATATGCTTGAGGCAAAAGAAATTTCATATAAATCAAATAGAACCACTGCCTGCCTGCAATGCGGACTGGAGAAGGGCCACACGTGGCGTGTTTCTCAACAGTAGTAAAATCCTTCCAGTGTGTCAGCGGGAGAAGGCAATGCAGTATAGTGACTCATTCCATGCACAAAATACATCAGAGGAGAGATTTTACGAATTTGTTCATTGACATTTTTATTGAACACCTACTATGTACACTAGGCATTGATCTAGGTGCTGGTGTTCCAGCATAAGACAACAGACAAAAATCCCTGCCCTTCAAGAAGAGCTCCTGGAGCTTACATTCTAGTGAATCAAGATAAGAAAACTAAATCCATGGAGAAAATGACCAATATCTGAGCCAAAGAACAATTTACCTGAAGAGTAACAAAAGGAACTCCCACTGTTTAAGTGAAAAAGTAAAATGCAGTTCCTTAGGTATCACCAAAAAGATAGCTCTCTGGGTTCACTGGCTCTCCCTCTAACAATCTCAGGGCAAAGACAATGTACAGGGGGCTCCTCACACGGGATCATCTCCAAACTAATGGCATTTCCAGTCAAATAGTAAGGCAAATGGTTGCACACATTGTTTCAAGGCAAATGTCTCAAAAAATAAGAAATTAAAAGGAGCATAACCTGTAGATAATAAAAAATAAAGAACCACAAAACAAAAATTACAGTGTTTGCAGCATAATAGTTTAAGATATTACAATGAGAAAGTAGAAAAGATTTTTACTTAGAAAAATATTTACTCCTAGACCCCAACAGTAGAAAAGTTGAATCTTACATATTATAAAGTAAATGTGGCAGTTCAAAATGCAGGCTGATTTCTCATTTTAAATGTTCTGTTTTCCTGAAGTAAGACAAATTTGAAAATATTTTGTCAAACTTCATTTTATGTAGTTATTTAGTGTATAAAGTTTTATAGGCATCTCTGGGCCTTCATTAAACAGAACAGGATTGCTAATTTAAAAGAGCTTATGAAAGAATACATCAAAACCCAAAATGGAAACAAGCAAACTACACAACAACTTGCACTGAGAGAAAATTAAGCTACAATCAAAGCTCAGTAGGGACAAGGTGAGTTTGATTAGGTTAAAAGTGTAAACTTAAAGAAAATATTTTAATTCTCCATGAAATACATAGGTGTGTATTTGCAAGGATAAAGAATAAACTAAATGCATCTCAAAAAAAAAAAGAAAAAAAAAAAATCCTAGAGATCCTCATGGAAAGTATTTTATTAGAAATGAGAAGAATGATTAGAATAGCAACTAGGGTGCTTTCTAGAGAGCCTTAAAAAGACTTCTTACACGTTACAATCTGATTTATCTTGAATTCCAGAAAGAATAATGAGGTTTTACTATAAGAGCACAAAAACAAACGTTTCAAATGATAAGACTTCAGCATCACCCATATCAAAAAAATTAGTAATGAACATTCAGTTTGGAAAGCTACTGTACATTGTAGTTGTGAGCAGATGTTACGATGGCTGGAAACAGAACCAGGTACAGAATAGGAGACCTATAGCTATAGTATTATACCAGTGGTCCCGTTACTCTTTAGAAATCTCACAGACCAACAGTAGCATCACTGCTGATCATGAGGCATTACATGTAAAACCTCAGGAAAGAGAAAGAAAGGATTTGAATGCAGTCACAGTGGTGAGCTGCTGAAATTCCATTAGGTTTCAACATCAAGCATTAGCAGCAAGAGGGATCAGGTTTCTAAATGACATGATTAGAGTCAGAACAGAGCAAATAAAACCCAAACCAACCACTACATTAACTCTGAGCTTCCACACTCCCCTTTTCTGTGAGCCACTGGTGCATAGACTCATTACCCAAGAAATATGGCTTTCATTACAGTCAAATCTCACTGTCCCAAACAGACAACTTTATAAAAGGAGTTTTTTAAAAATCACGTATTCAGTAACATTGGAATGATGGAGAGACACACAGATATATGTAAACATCAAAATACTCACTCCACTCCAGATCTGGGTCCAAAGCTCTCTAAGCTTTGTTGGGACTATTAGGTAGCCAGGGTCTGATTACACAGTAAAGATACAAGGGCCCAGACAGTCACAGACAGCCATTAGGAGACAATCAAAGAGATGACTGTACCGAGTGTCAGGGACTGGTCAGAAACAGTAAGGATGGCTTAAATAATTATCCCAACAAGGAAGACAAATAAAAAAGAATCCCATTTCATCTTTAGAAACAATCAAGTCTCTGAAATTTGATTTCTTGTAAGTTGTTGCCATTTGCTTGGATGAGATCTTGAAGGTTTTCCACTTCTCCACCCAGCTTAAGAACACATTGACTAGAAATCTGTGATAACAATTTAGTAAAGTCTTTTTCCCTCCTTTTCCTCATTATGCCAATGCAAGAACTGGAAAATTCCAAACAAAATCAGGTTAGTGGTATGGAAAGTTTATGAACTTTATGCATATTAAGAACAATAGCAATCATTCCAAGCATGAGACTATATATACACTTAAGTGTCTTTTTACTCTGCCAGGCAAGTTATAAGTTAAACTTCAAAAAACTTGGTTAAAGCCCAAACTAAAACAAAACTGTTTTTACTTATAAGAATCATATTCTTACTCAACCCTAGATACCGAAATGAGAACGTGGACTGCTCACTAATGAAGAGAATGATGGGCCCAGAAGGTTCTAACCACATAGGGTCACCAACATTTCATGAAACTTACCACCCTCCCTATTTCCCATATAATGATTACAACAATCACATCAATTGAACATCACTCAGACAAAAAAGAAATTAAACCCTGCTTTACCTAAGCATAAGATGCAAGGCAGAAAACAGATACATACCACTTATTGCTTCCTGTGCAAAATATTTCACATCCATGTCGTCATCTTGGCCTAACTTCTGAAGTACTGGCTTAACTTCCCCCTGCAAAGCACTGAGATTCAACAGTATTATCTGTGAATATAATTTTCTGGACTGGAGAAATGAGTTATGATACTGTACGGTCTATGGTAAGTTTTGAAATTTCAAATAAAATCTTTAAAAACAACTAGAAATATAAATTTGACAAATACTAAATAATTTCTAAAGAAGTTCTCAGCTAAATTAGCTTCAGATAGTGATCTACACATACACAGAGCTTAAATATAAACATCTGAGGGGATACCCTAAAAAATGGTTGCTAAATAAAATAAAATTTAAAAATTAGACAAAACGAAAATCACCAAACTCAATTTTAGCTCTTACCTACCCCAACTACAAATATATTTAAAATCTACTTCTAAAACAACAGTATCAACACTACAATCTTACTCAGTGTCTAGAATTGGTCCAATTTTCTGTAGAGATTTGGCTACATTGAAGCGAACGTTTGCTACTTGGTCTCCTGCCATTTTTAATACGATGGGTAACATTTGCTTAGTGGTTATTTCCTGACCACAGGCTTCAGACAGGGCCTAAAAAAATAAATAAGATGGTTCATTCAAAACACTTTCATATTTAAAAAATTCTAAAATCTAACAAAACATTAATATCTATTAAGAAAGTCCTTAGCCAACAGGAAATGTTTCTAGCTTTAGCATCTGAATGAGGACACAGGGTAAGTAAGCAAAGTCACAGAGGTAGACCAAAATGCACAACTAAATTGCAATTTTTAAAAACACTGCTGTATATTTTAACATGGATATTTCCCCTGCCTTCTAATATATGAGGAATATACCCCAAATATAAGACAAAACATTCAGAATTTAGACACTCAGTCCTGAGTAAGTACTTTTAGCAGTAATATCTAGGTAATACTTACATTAATGCAGAATAATGTGGTCATTCTATGCAAGTAATTAGGATCATTTGCCATTACTAAAACTTTGGGAACAATGGTGTTCTGGGCCCACTCTGTACCAAACTTCTGAACAAGTTTCATGAGGTTGTTTGTGGCAGCTTCTCTGATAGCATATACTGCAATACAGGTGAAGAACATGTTCTCATATCGTTTACATCATGAGCATCAGTTTACATCATAATCCTATTTTTGTGACAATCACCATCAAATGTAATAAACAAAACACTCTATAGACAGACTGTAACTTTAATCACACTACAAATCAAAACGTGTAATTACAATGAGTTTAATGGATTTGCACGGCAAAGGTACTGACTTAACGTCTCATACTGTACTGGTGTGGCCTTACAATAGTTTTTAAATGTTGAGTATGTATAAAGAAAAAATACATAAAAACAAAACTCAAACCCATTGCCACCTAGTTGATTCCAACTCAACAGTAACCTTCACTTTAAGAGTAGAAATACCCCATAGAATTTATTAGCTTCAGATAGTGATCTACACATACACAGAGCTTAAATATAAACATCTGAGTGGATACCCTAAAAAATGGTTGCTAAATAAAATAAAATTTAAAAATTAGACAAAACGAAAATCACCAAACTCAATTTTAGCTCTTACCTACCCCAACTACAAATATATTTAAAATCTACTTCTAAAACAACAGTATCAACACTACAATCTTACTCAGTGTCTAGAATTGGTCCAATTTTCTGTAGAGATTTGGCTACATTGAATAAAATGGGTGTCGACTGCCATCATTTTTCCACATCTTTGTGTGGAACAGCTGGTGTGTTTGAACTGCCAATCTTTCAGTTACCAGCCAAGAACCTAACCACTGTGCCACCCTAGCTTCCTCCTTTCATGCATCACATTAATTAATAACCACCCAAAGCCTACTATGTGCTAAGTGTTACACAAAGAACGTATTCGATTCTTTCCCCCAAAGATCCATCAAAGAAAGATCTAAATGTACTCCATGAAGTTATATGATAAAAGACTGACTGCTTAAGTTATTAAATTGTATAGTAAAGACTGTGAAGGTTGTAGGAATTTAAAAAAAGCGAACAGCGTAGGTCTAGGAAGATTTTGAGATAGGTCTTGAACTGGGCCATCAAGATTAGGGAGGGAGGAAGAAAGAAGTGAGAAATTCCATCAAAGGGCTAAAAACATGCACCTTGCTGTTCAAACCGACCTTGTGGCCCAGTGCTTATCCTACAGTGCCACACCAGGTTACAAGGGTACAATTCAAGACCAGAAATGCTCAGGATAGTTCTTGGGTCACTACAGCCTCTTCTGAGCCATGTGCCCCCATGCAGGCCTCTCTCTGGTCCACAGGGCCCCTTGGCCTCCGCCCTGCTCTGGAAACGTTGTTAGCCTCTCCTAGTGCTTCGGATATATACCCAAAGGGCATGCCGTATATATGTCACAGTCCAAAGGTGCTTGACTCTAGCTCCATGGGATCAGCAAACCTAGCTCCTCATCCCACTCAGCAAGCAAGCTTGATTCTTAGTGGACAGGGAAGGCCACTTGTCTGTCTCATGCTCTAGCTCTTGGTTCCACTATTGCCCCTCCTCTGCTACTCCTTCGCCGTTTATCTGGCGTCAGAGTTTCTGTCCCTGAATTTATGAGGTTTGATGCACAGGGATCTCAGGATCCAGATGTGCTCCACTCCTGGTTCTTTCTTAACAGTAGTAAGCTCCCTGCTCCTGCTTCTGAAATGGCTCACTGTATACCCAGCAGGATGGCAAGACTGACCAATCCCTACATTAAAGTCCCAAATTTTCATAATCACAGTCACTCACAACTGAATCATGTAATGCTATCCACATCTTTCCCCACATTCTCTCACTCAGACCAACCAGGAAAAGAGGAACTATACTGGGTTGTTTGGTATACACTGGCTAATTCACTTCACCATAGGTAGTTAACTCCCTATTATACTTCTCCTGTGAGGTGAGCCCAACCATCCTGGGTGAAAAGAAAAGCAGGAAAAACAAGCCAGACTACCCAAGCTGCCCCAATCTAGACAGCCTACAGAAGCACCCCCCTTGGATAAGGATATCCAACTTTTCCCAGTCCATAAATCCTTCCAGGCAATGTTAAAGAGGAGAACAGGTAAGACAGCATGGACAAAGAACTATATCATTTACCACCAACACTTAACCTGAAAAAAAAATACTATGGGAGAAACAATCCATCAATAAAACTCAGAAACACTGTCCAAGGAAGCTCATTAATTTAAGTTTTACCAAATAGCAAAAATTCTTTCCCTTTCTAGCCATAATTTTTGTGTTTGGCACAAGCCCCTCTTTTGTCTCCTCCCCTAAGGCAAAACTAGCTAGACCAAGTATGTCTTCTCTTCTAATTATGGTTTTGTTTTTTTGTTTTTTCCATTTCCTTAACATTTTCATTATAATGCCATCACTGTCAGAGATCCCACTGCCTGAGTAACAAGACATGGAGCATACATACACACCTTCAGCCTTAACAGGGGCCTTAACTGTACTGAACCTACTTAGCCAAGTGTCTGTGTTCTTGGCACCTCTTCATTTTGTCAAGAGAATGAAAACCATTCTGTAATTCTGCCTACGTTCTCCCCTTGTTTTGTCTTTCTCTCCCTTGTCCCCAAAGTCTTACTGACCCATAAGGTTTATATCAATGTCCAACTCACTAATTTATGCTTACTCTACCAGTTGATCATTTTTGTCCCTCTCCTATAAATCGTCCTTCTAAATTCCTCACACTGGTCATAATTATACACTCAACTATGGAATAGAAATGAGTGATACTTTTTCCTTATATTTTTAAGGATTTTGAAAACAATATTTAGTAGTTAAAAAATCTGAAGAAAAAAAGTTTCAAAAAATCTGTTGTCACTATGTAAAACTTATCTAAAAGGCAAATTCACTGGTTAATTAAGCATAAAGCGATTTCAGATCCGGCATTTCACTGATGCAATGCTTGTAACCTCCACTTTAGTATGCTACTACAGAAAGAGAAATGAAGGTCTCTCCTGTTCCCCAAATAAAGGAAAACTCAGAGGAAAGAGGAAGTAGTAACAGATTAACAGGGCAATCCAACATAGAAAGGGTGTCAGGAATTTAACTCACTGGAGAATCTTACGATTTTACAAGTTCCTTCAAATAAAATATTGTCTTAAAACAGAATGCGAGCTTTCAAAAAGAGTATTGAATAATCTACTGGGACATGCCATTCCCTAAATTAAATATTTATTATAAATAAAATGAACGTTTCTTCTCCTAAAAAAAAGAAAAAAAAAGAGGAATTTCTTTCCAATGATTTGCCAATCTTAAACCTTGTTTTAAAAGGGGAAAAAAATTAACACCATAAAAGGAGAAAACAAGCAGTCTTCACAGTTCAGTCTGAAAACACTTAAGTAGTCACATATATGTTCTTATAGAGCTTCTCATATTCTTTCTTACCCAATGCCCTCCTCTAGGGTACAACAAGCTTTTAACAAAACCACCTACATGGAGAAGTGAAAACCTACATTTCCCATTCCCCACAAATCTCCAGGCATCAGTAACCACAGATGAACCAGGAGACACACTCAGTATACAAACCATACATAAAGCTACTGCAGAACTGAAGAGGACACCCAGAAAATTGAGCAAAACATGGAACCAAAGCCAACAGGCCAACACATTATGAGTTCCCTAGAACACTCATCTGGAACAGGTTTAAGAATACACTACATTTGCTCTCAGGTCAAGAATCACTGCGCAAATAAGAATTGTTACCTTTTTTTGCCCTGCCCACCATGTAAATCAAATGTCTAGGGATATCAGTCTCGCTCATATGATCCAAGAGTAAATAGACAAAGGTTCACAAAACAGACTAAATGCTTTAGAGAAAGGAAGATCGCTTAAGGGAAATAAGACCCAATATATCCAGATTACACTCCCAGCTAAGGTTACTCATGGTATAAGTAGATTTGTGTTATCTTTCAGTAACCCAGAAATTGATTGGAACTTAATCCAACAGCATTTTAGGAGGTTGTGGAACAATATACACTTGTCTGTGTATATTCATCAGCTACATGCTCAAATTTATGATATAAGTAATTCTCAAAGTGAACACTGAGTGGCTACTAATTTGCTACCCCTGCTAGAGAGTAAGATCCCCTAAGAACTTGATTGAACCTCAGCATAGTGATCCTGCTTGGTCACCTTAGAGCAGGTGGTGGGCCGGCAACGTCTGGCGCATGGGGTCCCCAGCTGTTCTCCTCCCTCCCTGCCTTCCTCGGATGGCGGCTGTTTATGCTGGACGTGTGGCCAGAGACGGGTAAGGATCACGTGGAACCTCGGCAACTTAAGACAGAGCCATTGCCATGCTGCAATGAGTTTCAATGACTGGTAAGACTGAGGAATTCGCACTGACCGCCTAAGACAGGCAGCGTCCCTTAAACAAACAATAAATAAGGAGGATTCGGATGTAGACCGTGCAGACCCGGTCAGGAGGCCAAGCCCCTGTGAGCCCAAGCGTTGTTGACCATCCAAACCATAGGCTCTGAAGATCAGACTTTAGCTACCTAGTAGACATAGCAAACTGTCCCTCATCTGATTATTCAGTAATGCTTGTTAGTAATCTCATACATGAGCCCTGGATATCCACAGACAAATGTAAAAACCTTCCCTAAAAGCCGAGACTGTAAATTCCAAAAAGGCAAGTCCCCCCGCATCCAAAAAAAAAGCTAAAGAGGATAGAGAGAAACACTGTTAACTGATGATATATGGAGGGGATAATAATCAATGTAATGAAACAAGCTATATGAATGGTTGAATGTGAAGCTGATGATGTGCCCTGTAAACTTTCACTCAATCCAAAATAAAAACATTTACTTAAATTAAAAAAAAAAAAAGAATACACTACAGCTACTGGGTCTGGACCCCAGGTATGGCCCTGGACCTCACTGGTCCAGAAGGTACCTTGTACCCACTGCTACCTGATGGACAAGAGCATGTACCCATATACACACACCTAAGATCTCAACAAAAAGTCATCTGTGAATTCCCACTCTCCCACCTGCCCTGCCCTGAACTTGTCCTCTTTTAGCACCCTGAGCAGTAACAGTACCCTTACAAGTAGTAGCACTTCCTTTCAACAAAACAAAAACTCAATCCGTTATAGCTAATGTCTCCCCCCCTAAAAAATATCATACCGGACACCTCCCTATATTCCTCCTTCTCTGCCACCCAAAATATGACAAGTAGTCATCTTTATTCCAAAGCCAATCCCTGTCCAACCTAGCCTACACTTGTTGAAAGCACCTCCTCACACTGGGGCTACCAGTTTGACATGCTGTGTCTGTTTTGGGCACTCTCTTAAATGACTTTATTATTTTTAACCGTTCACCACAGGATACACTCTTGATAGGGGAGTGGCAGGGAACTGGCTTTGTGACAGCTGCCTTTCTCTGCATGCCCCTTAGAAACCTTCAGGGCCCCAGGGGCTAAGCCAGGGGAGCGAGGGAGGAACTCCAGCTGAGATAAGGACGGCACTGAGGCAGAAGCAAGGTGCGCCACTGATGACTGGAACATGAGAGTGAAAGGGAGAAAGTGTCTCAGTTACCTAGAGCTGCTATAACAGAAGTATCACAAGTAAGCAACTTTAACAAATTAATCTTCTCATAGTTCAGAAGGCTAGAAATCTGAATTCAAGGCAACAGCTCTAGAGGAAGAAGGTCTCATCTCTTCTGAACTTCTGCTCCTGAGAAAACTTCATGTGGCTTGGTAATTCTCTTCCTCCATTTCTGCTCTGCTCACTCATTTAATGTCTTTTATTTCTCAAAAGAGAGTATCTCAAGATACACCTTCCATAAAGCTTACTTCGTTAACATAACATAGACTATTTCCAAATGGGATTATAACCACAACCACAGAGGTTAGAATTTACAACACATATATTTTGGGGACATCTTCCAATTCATAACAGGAGGGGAAACTACTGTCACTTGCTGAAGGCCAGGACGGCTAACCAGATTCAGGAGCTGCTGCATTTGAAATCTAATCCACTAAAACTGATACTCAGATTTTGACAAGTAGGGGCGCAAAGAAAAGCTTAGAGTAGGGAACCTTTCAAGGAGAACTTCTAGTTCTCTTCTGCTCTACCCAGTCAGGAGGGACCAGCACACCTATTACTGATAAACCTCAAATTGCTATGGCAACATGGACCCTTTGAGGCCCTCACAATGAGACAGAAAAAATTCACAGGGAACTGATCTTACTGCTCTATCAAGTGCTTCCCACCCCTGGACTTTTTTTTTTTTTTTTAAGGTTTTTTTTTTATTGTGAATTGAGTAAAAGTTTATAGGGAAAA